GAGACAGACAAATATTCTTGGGTGCTGGTGAGGAAATACCGTCTATATTACTTAATGAGATACTTTGTAGAAAGTGTCCACTGTGCAAGTTAGACCATATCGCTTTATTTATTTGTACATGTTTGTTTATTTGTGGCTTGCATGGTATTCATGTGTTGTAAAATATGTAAAATTACTTAGTTCATTAAAAATATGTTCCTCTCAAACAGTGTTTTCTCTAATTTTTCTAATAATTTACTAATAATTAAAATGATCAATAAAAGAAAACAGTGATATTAAAGGAAAGTGGTATTAATTACATGTAAAAGAATTTTGCTGGCTGATTTAACATGTTTTACAGGAGCATTTCTCCCTGGAATTTTCTACCACCCCCTCTTTTCAGAAGTTTCTTATTGTTAAAAGGAAATGTTTTCTTCCCACTGATTTTATCTATGCAAGCCACATGGTTTACAATTTTTAATCAGATTCATCACAGGGTTATTGTGGATTCATTTTGATTAATCAGGATTAAATATCATTCATTTTTATTCTATATTAATCGCATTTTATTTTGCATGAGCAAACAGAAAATGGGAGAATATACGAACTTAACATTTTTATTGAACATCTTGAACATTCATGTTAACAAAAGACTCTGTAAACTTTTATGCTCTGCGCATTTATATGGACAGAACCCAGAGTGTCAGATAAAGTGACCAGCTGTTCGTGTCTTGGGCTCAACCACACATGGGAAAGCCTGTGTCTAAACAGCGCCTCTCCCATTGGATAGTAGGAACAATTGCCCTGGCCTATAGTAGCAGGGGCCTTCAGCCTCCTGCTGGCTTGCGTGCGCATTCCACTAGAAGTCTGGCGACCTCATGGGCTCTCTTTAGGGGGGTTTCTATTCAGGAGGTGTGTGCAGCTGCATGCTGGGCCTCACCTCACACATTTGCTAGGTTTTACAGGTTAGATGTAACAGCACCTAACCTAGCGCATTCAGTCCTCAGTGCAGGTTCTTCCCAGGTGGGAGCTTCTCCCCTGTGAAGTGATGTTGGGGACAGTTGTCTTCTTAACAGGCATGTCTGGCAATCCGGGAGTCTGATAGTGAGACACGAAACAAATGCTAT